AGTCCGCAGCAAGCAAGCCTCCCTGCTCGCTTCAGTGCCTGGCTGCCGGCCGCCATCTTGGCTGACAGATAATTTGCATATACTCACTGATTAGCCAATGAAAAGGGTAGCGGTCGTACGCTAATTACCATGTTTCTCTTTTATTAGTGTAGACTAGTAGCCCGGTGCACGAAATTCGTGCACTGGGGTAGGGGGGGGAGAAGGGGCCCCTCAGTCTGGCCTTCACCCTCTCCAATTTGAGACCCCTCAGGGAATGTCCAACTACCTGTTTGTGCCCACACTTTTAACAGATAACAGCTCCATTGTTGTTCCTTTCTTATGCTTAAAACCATTGGAATTAGTAGGTATTCAAAGTGTGTATACATTTTGGGGGGACACCCTGTATATCTCTAGTCAGTGGTGAAAGAAACCAACAGCAGATTTGGAACCCCCAGACAGGGAACCTTGCTCATTCCCCACATGTCTCCCCACTTCACTTTCCACCTTCCTGGGCAGCAGGAGAATCAATGTTTTCTCTCATTAATTCAGAAAAGCACGTCCTGTCACCCGTTGCCCGGCAGGAGTGCGCTAGGCCCCAAGCAAGCAAGGCTCAGTCAGGGCAGCCTTCACTCATGGGTGCTGGCACCCAAAGTGCACATTCCTCCTCTACAGTCGCCCCGACTATCCCACTGTTTCACTGAGAGGACGGAATTCCTCTCTGCCTCTGGACTCTTGATCTTGAACGCTGACTGAAGGCACCTCAGAGAGGGCTGCCCGCGCCCACCAGGTGTGTCTGTCTGCACCTGCTCCCGCCTCAGCACCTGCATTAACCCCCCAGTGGTGATCTCGTAGCTGCACTGGCCTCCGTGGGAACAGGGCATCACCACTCCGCCCTCTCACTGTCATCTCACAGGCGCCCACGCTCAGCACCCAGAACACCCAGACACTCTCCAAAGGATGTGAGCGCATCAGAGGGGATGTGTGCACATCCTGTGGGGCTGTTAGGCATGCCGGGTTGATGGAAGTGCGGTGGAGGGGCGGGGGGAACTTGTGCACGCCTTGGTTTGCAACTGTTGCAGGCGTGGGAGGGTGACAGTGTGCTGGGGGATGTTCGCACGCCAGGGGAGTATGTGCACACCAGAGGCCTCTGGCTTTGCAGATCCGCAAACCCCCGTGGTGCGGCCAGGAGGACGTCAGTCTGGCCTGCCACGGTGGCAGTCCCTGCGATCTTGCACCTTCTGGGCCAGGAGGTGGATCTTGCGCAGTCACTCCTGGGCGCTGATGGCTGCCTCCCCGCCGTGAAGGGTCACGAATCCGAGTCCCATGACCGTGCACAGCCTCAAGCGCTGCCCCCCGCCCGGCAGGGTTACAGATCCGTGTCTTGGTCCCGTGGACAGCCTCAGCACTGACCCCCACCTGGCAGGGTCACAGATTCGGGTCCCGGACTGCAGACAGCCCCCCCTGCTGCCCCCCTGCCCACCAGGTCACGGAT